CCCACCCAGCCGCTCACTCACTCCCCCCCGGTGGGATGGGGGAGAGAATCGGAAAGGTAAAAGTGAGAACACTCGTGGGCTGAGATAAAGACAGTTTAACAGGTAAAGCAAAGCTGCGTGCGCAAGCAGAGCAAAACAAGGAATTCATTCACTCCTCCCCATGGGCAGGCGGGTGTTCAGCCATCTCCAGGACAGCAGGGCTCCATCACGTGTAACGGTGACTTGGGAAGACAAACGCCACCACTCTGAACGTCCCCCCCTTCCTTCTTCTTCCCCCAGCTCTATATGCTGAGCATGACGTCATATGGTGTGGAATGTCCCTTGGGTCCGTTGGGGTCAGCTGTCCCGGCTGTGTCCCCTCCCAGCTCCTTGTGCCCCCCCAGCCTGCTCGCTGGTGTGGGGGGGTGAGGAGCAGAGGCCTTGACTCTCAGCAGTAACGAAAACATCCCTGTGTTATCAACACTGTTTCCAGCACAAATCCAAAACATAGCCCCATACTAACTACTGTGAAGAATTAACTCTACCCCAGCCAAAACCAGCACACTATCCAATAGTAACAATGTTGGCTTGAGAGAATGTGGCCTTTTGCACTGTTACAGACTTAAGCAAGTAAATGTTCCATTAGGATGATTCACTTCAAGTGAAAGTGTGTAGCTTTTCCTTAAGAACAACTTACAAGATCGTGTTTATTTCAAATCCAGTATATTTAAACCTATTACTCCTTTCCAGCAGTGTATATACTTAACTATGTTTGCCACAAGAACAAGCTGAAAAGAAGGAATTGTTGTGAGTGTGTTTTTTAACCTTGGATAGATCCTTCTTGGCAGTGCTGGCAGAACGGACATTTCCTGGACTTCTTGAACAAATTACTCAGCACTGGTGAGGCCGTACCTGCAGTACTGCGTCCAGTTCTAGGCTCCCCCGTACAAGATACGGACTTAACTGAAGGGAGTCCAGCACAGGGCCACAAAGATGATTAAGGGACTGGAGCACGTGTCATGTGAGGAGAGGCTGCGAGTCTTTAGCCTGGACAAGAGAAGGCTCAGGAGTAACGTTACATATGTGTGTAAATACCTGATGGGATGCAATGAAGAGGAGGGAGCCAGCCTCTCCTCAGTAGTGCCCACTGACAGGACAAGAGGCAATGGGCGCAAATTAAAACACGTGAAATTCCACTGGAACACAAGAAAACGCTTTTTTTATTGTGAGGGATGTCATACACTGGCAGAGGGTGTGGAGTCTCCATCTGTGGAGATACTCAAAACTCAATTGGACATGGTCCTGGACAACCTGCTCTAGCTGACCCTGCTTGGGCAGGTGGGTTGCACTCGATGATCTCAAGAGATCCTTCAAACCTCAACAATTCTGTGAATTCATTTGCAATTTCTCACCAAAATGTCCTTGCCTCGCTGTGGTCTCTTTCATCCATCATCTGAATGTGGTGTTGGATGGTATCAGTTTTGCAATGCTTATTTCTCAGGCAGGCCACCTGGGAAATTATTTCTTTAAATAAAGTGTTTAATCACTATAAATCACCAACATATTTACCTGCAGAAGACCAATAATGCAACATCCTTGATAAGTATTTGACATACATAAAAAATAGACCTTATTTTTGGCTGTTCTATGCAAGCCAGCACTATACATAATATTTCTTGTATAGAATCAAAATGGTGTTCCTGCCTGGTACGGTGCTGTGGGGGGCATGTGCCAGCATCAAGTATTGGTAGTCAATAGCATAATCATCCTAGACAGTTTTAATGAGGAAGCAAAGGGGGTTTTTTGAACAAAAGGACAGTTATCCTTACCTGCTCTGTGACTAAATTCTTGGATTTGCTTTTCATAGAACAGAAGTAACAGAAGGAAACCGAAGCGATTTCTAAATGTTGTCCTGTTTGCTGTGATTCAAGAAAGTGCACAGCTGGAGTTAGTATACTTTAAATTTACTCCCTCACCTGTTCCAAGATAACCTGTAGTTGTGGCAAGCCTGAACGTCTTCATAGGTACACAAGGCTCGAGGGGGCCCCTCCCGCGGGCCCGCTGCGGGTTCCCGGGCGCCCTGCGGCACCGGCACC